TAATGAAACCGAAAAAAAGATAGAGAAAAAAAAGCATGTCCATAGAGTTATGAATTGGATCAACTTCACAGCACTCTGGACAGATCCATGGATGCTCAGGTTCACATCGCAACATATTCATCAGTGTCGCGCGGTTAATAGTGCCAGTCCTATGCTGGTTAACAAGACTTCGTGTGCGTCCAGTGTGCTTCGCATGTTTGGCTGTGTCGTCTTTACTCTACATTCTCTTGTTCGTAGTAGTGATGTGGACATGTTGCTTCTAAAATCCCCAGAACGTCCTGTCTCTCTAAGGACATTGACACTGTCTGCTTGATCTTCAGTTGATGCGGTACTAGCTGGAATATCAGATTTGTCATTACCAAGAATACCTGCAGAACCTGTTAAAAATAATAAGGTACCTGCATACACAGGAGTTTTACAAATACTCAGTTCACTGTCTGCTTAACCAGCCTGCCTCGATCCGCCAGATCATGCTCATAAAATCACTCAGCACACACACACACACACACACACACACACACTGGAATATTCCTGTGATTCTAGCCAGATGAAAGGTTTTCTCACCGCCATCGACTCTATCGTCATGCTGCTAGTAGTCATGGAGAAAGAACCGCTGACTTCTCGAACTGTTCTGCTTGAAGGACGAACTGTAAATGCCTATGCACTCTTATGTCCTCGTAAAGAGGACCCGTCTGTAAAGATCAGCACATCTGTCTCATCTGACTTGTCACTGATAAGCGTGCATACCTCAGCGTTGACAGTAGATGGATTCTGCTCCCGACAACTCCTAGCAAGCGTCACGACACAGGAGAATGAGAAATTGGGCACTTTAGACGCTGGTATCCCTTTTCCATTTGGAATTATGTATGTAAGGCTGTGAACCTGCATGATGTCATCTTCCGCTCCACCCAGCCATGATTTGTTATTTTTGAGTCTTTTGCCCTTTTTTCCTGAAAAGTATGTGGTGCAAAGGGTGCTTCAGATCTGAGCTTATCTTGAGGTATACACGAGTCCTCCAGATCTTGATCCTATAGTTCATGCGGGGGAATCAAGAAGGTACCTGATTGCTACACAAGAGGTGTCTCCAGTGCAGTCCAGAATAATGCGCATTGGTTTCAGAAGTACTTAAACTTACACAGATCATGTCTTCCCGCGAAGCTGATCGTTTACGCAAATCAGTACACATCCAACACCATGCGGAGAAGTCTCGATAAAAAAATTCTGGCCGTAGAGCTGATCTGCATGACTGTAAACCTTTCTCCTTATAACGTGGCCCTGGAACACACAGAATGATTCGTTACGAAACTAAACTCTTCTCAAACATTTACCAGGGTCCTTTGACGATGCTTGTTTACTGGTGTTATCGGTGCCTACAATGCCAGTCGGTAAGAACTGGCCTTATGTAGGGTCTTTTAGCCCAAGATCAGCTTAAAGCAACCACTTCCTCACTGAGCTGAAATGTGACAAGCTGCTGTCCACAAGACAACCAAGAAAGGCTGGTGACACTGGTTAAAGACCTTTTGACACCTATGGAAAGACTGCCCCCCCCCCCCTCCCAGTATTGCCGGTGGGATAAACTGACATCTGGAGACAGATGTCGACTGTGGACCGGGTTGATCACCCCTAACACAGTATTATACCTCTGATTGCGAAAACCAATAAAGAAATATGCCCCTAGGGTCCATCGAAAGAGGGGGAGAATGATGGACCCAATCAATTAGATACAAACAGTGATGACCTTGCTAGCCCCCGGACTGAGATTCTTGCCCAACGTCCGGGTTGGCTCTGTACATGTGGAAAGAGCTTCAAGGGGTTGCATGGTCTGAGAACTCATGCCGGAAGGATGAAATGCGAGGGTGCTCCACGCAGTAATCACAGTTACAAAACTTCTACTCCCGTGGTAGTTTCTGAGTCGGTAGGGAACGACGGGCAGGGTAACCCCACTTTTTTTTTTTCATTTCATTTTTTTTTAAATAAATACTTAGAAGAGGGAAAGAGTAGTCGGTGAATTTTGGGGTAGGGGTGGGGAGGGATTGGGGGAGGGGGGAGTGGTAACATAAAATGTTAACTGAGAAAACTGGGGTGGGGGAGGGGGAGTGGGGCGAAATTACACATCATAACCTGACCAGTTCATGGCAGCAGCACCAGCCATGCCGTGCCAAATCCTTTGGCTCCTGATCCTCTTTCTACTCTGATGTTAAAACAGATAGTAGTGGCATTAGTTTAGTTATTGTGGTTGTGGTAGTAGTTGTACTGGTACTTGAAGGATGGCGTGGTATATATTACACTGGTCGCATTTACTTCTCATTAGTGGTCTGTGTGATCGTCTGTCGAGCCAGTAACCAGTGTTTAATCCCACAACGTTGCAAGCTTTTTCTTCTTCTTCCCTCCATTACAGCGCTGAGTCCACCCGGATTTTTAAAAGTAGGTAACAGATTGGGATGAGAGAGATGATCAAGATTACCGTGGTGATGATGATGCTGATAAAGACAGTGATGACACTGACGATGAGAATGCTGATGGTCGTCGAGGGGATCACACTGCTGACGATGATGGTGATGATGATAAGGATAATGATGATGGTCGTCGTGTTAGTGACTTTGATGACGATTATGGTGGTGGTGATAATGACTTCGATGACATTGATATGAAGATGATTGTTGCGTCCATTAAACTGATGACGACGATGTTGATGATGATAGTGATGACGATGCTAATGATGATGGTAGACGTGGTGTTGATATTGCTAATGATAATAGTTATATTCATGTTGATAGTGATGATGATGATGATGATGATGATAAGGGTTATAGTCATGTTTAAATTCTATCAGACGATACAACTGTCAACTAACACACTATCGACGCTGACAACATGCCTCAGTTTAAGACGGGATTAACATGTCCAAGCTGTGTGCGCTTTGTCGTTATCACTAGGCGAAATCGAATTTCCTACACGTGTATAGTGACTGAAATTTAGTGGTCTTTTAAAATGTGATGCAGTGTGTAATTTTACTTTTCCAAGTAAGTATAATGTGATACAATCTCTAGAATTCGCGCAAATATGTGTATGTGCGACTGCTCGCGTGTGCGTATGTGTTTGTGTGTGTGTGTGTGTGATGTGATGTTTATGAGGCTCCGTGGCTCAAGAGTTTAGCGAATGCGATTAACAAATTCACGAATCTAAATATAGTATTTGCACATTATCCCGCATATTATATAGAAATGGGAACAGCTGTGTTGCAGCGGCTAGACGCTTGCCTGCCGATCTGAAGATGGTGGGTTCAGGTTATGACAGATAAGGATTTTTCTTTGAAAAACGACCTTAGCTCATTGGTCGACCCAACCTTTACTGAATAAAAGGTAACGTCCTGGAAAGTAAAAGCGGCCGGTGTGATTTGACTCCATCACGCGATGAGTGCCGAGTGGTCTATATAATATAGATTCAGCCCGATATGCCGAATACGCGTGAAGGCGTGCAAAGGGTCATTTACTCTACTTTACTTTATATGTAAATGTTTTAACATATGTTGGACATTTGAACAGGTAATAAACAAGCCAAACAATTTCTGAGGCCGCGGAGGTATTATTTTGCAGAAAAATCCAAAAAAATAACTTTGACAGGCAAAAAGAGCAACGTGTTAAAAAGAGGAAGGGGCCCGAAGACAACTTATCGCAATCATCACACAGAGAAAATCATCATTTTTGGGTCATATTATATCACTGGAAAGATTTATGGAATGAGAGATAGAGGAAACAACGCAAGAAGATTCTTGACAACCTTAAATGATATCATGGAGGCGTGTTAGCACATGAACTGACACATGGTGTTGAAGACAGCAGGCTGTGGAGCGGTATGATCACACATACACACACATTCAGACCTACAATGATATATATGTGTGTATGTAACTGTATCTAAACAAGTTAAGCAAAGACCCTTTTTTTACGCCTTTTAGGCGTATTGGGAACATAGAGCTAAATTTTCATAGACGAATCGGTACTTGGTGGGTAATGAGATCAGCATCATGCCAGCCGCCTTTACTTCCCAGGACCTGGCACCCACTCTAGGCTGGGTAACCCTGAGATTCAAAGTAACTTTTGAAAAAGATGTCTAGCCGCCAACGCTACGGTGACTCCCTCTGTGTGTGTGTCATGGAATGAACAGCCACCACACACAGTGGACGAGTCGGGACCTGATATCCCTCGCACTCAGCAAAATTTCAAACTTAGACCCGTCCGGAAAGGTATATAGTCCCTTATATTGATCGTTAAGCAAGTCATTTTTTTTACAATTTGTTTTACTCGTTATGCGAATTACTCGTTGTGAGAGGTGCTCGTTAAGCGAAGTTCTACTGTAGTAGTATAATAGTAGTATAGTAGTAGTATAGTAGTAGTATAGTAGTAGTAGTAGTAGTAGTAGTAGTAGTAGTAGCAGTAGTAGTAGTAGTAGTAGTAGTAGTAGTAGTAGTAGTAGTAATAGCAGTAGTAGTAGTAGTAGTAGCAGCAGCAGCAGCAGCAGTAGTAGTAGTAGTAGTAGTAGTAGTAGTAGTAGTAGTAGTAGTAGAAGTAGTAGTAGTAGTAGTAGTAAGCCACCAAATCATGCCGGTGTTTCATGCACTGAGTGTACAAAATATATGCACACTGCGATTAATATGACTGGTCCGACATTTGGACTGCACGGATATCATCAGTGCCATGCGGGATAAATGACTGTGAAAATTATGACTGTGCATCCCTATCCAGGCTATTTGCGTTTTTTGGGAGTAAATCTGAAGCTGCTAGACATCAACATTTCTCTAAAGGAACAAGACGTTTGATGATCAGCTCAATGAGGACGTGGTCAATCACTTTACGCTTGGAAGCACCTGGAGTGATATGATCACAGTTCTCTCGGTTATCAGCATGTCACATTTATAATATGGCTGCTTAATCTTTAAAGTATTTTTTTTTTTCTTTTTGTTTTCAGAAAGAGGAAATGTTACAAACAAAACGATCATAATGGGATCTAAACGATATTCCAGAAGATTATTAAAAGTGCTTTTTGCGATTACAATATCTTGGACTGTTTTACTTGTGTGGCAATTACATCAGTCTATTTTCCTGCACTCTGACGTAGAGACTCAAGTAAGTACAGTGCATGTTAAATGTATGCCTATCGTCAGAGAAACACTTACATAGCTGACATCTGGTTTTTGCAAAATAATGTGGATATCTGGCTACTTATATCTTTGAAGTTTGAAGTCTGAACAACGGATCAACACCATAGCACACGGGTAGTAACCCATAAGTGCTCTGTTCTACTTCTAAATAAAGTTTAAGCTCGAAGAAACTTAGCACAGTGCACAGGCTCTGTAACACCGGCGAGGATCCTGAAATACTATGGGTAGATTTTAAACTCCAAATTTAGCCCGGGCAGGGCCGTTGAGCTTTTTTTTTTTTCGATTTTCAGCCGCGTAACAAAGCACACGGCATCCAATCTCACTACCCAGATACCTGGGGAAAGACTAGAAGTCCACGTCCACGTGAAAAAACCCAGCCCATTACCGGGAATTGAAACCGGCACCTCTAGCACTCGAGACGGACACCATGCCTGGAGACCACGCAGTCTCCTCCTGGTATCCTCAGAGCAGCTATCATCAGCAACAGTCACAGTACAGTTAAGTAAAGGACCTTTATCTAAGCCTACCTGTGTATTTGGCATATAGACCCTGACATACACTTTATAGACTGACCGGCGCTAGGTGGATACATGACAAGGCAGATGTGGTCAAGGCCCTTTAGGAACAAGCAACAGAATCAGTAGAGAACGAAGCTTATTATGAGAATGAGGCACCTGGGTGTAAACAGAGGGTTTGTCCGGCTCACTACACTCAGGGGAAAGGCAAGACGGACATTTAACTAGATTGTCACCGGTACCATCAGTACTGGAACTCTGCGCTGGCTGCTGAAGATGAGGACGAAGCATGAATGGGAATGCCCTGAGTGTTGTTATGACAATTCTTGACAACTCAACGCCGGGCTAGTTGGATGGTTTGGCCAGTATCAAGTCGTCGCCTATACTTCCTAGGACTTGTACCCGGTACCCTCTCAGAGCTTAGTCGTCCTGGGAGCCAAGGTCGATTTTGGAAGAAGAAAAAAACAATCCAGCTCTTTATGGGCCCGAACCCACGACCTTCTGAGCAGCAGTAAAGCGTGTAGCAGCTACACCACGGCAACTCCCTGCGGTTAGCGTCATAGATTTCTTATTTACCTATTCGAATTATATTCTAACATCCCCATTCGTCTTGTCTCACATAAACTTACAGATGAAACATCCTGTTATCTGTCCAAAAGCAAATGATGAGTTTTCAGTTGGACATAACATCAGTGATGATGA